CAACTTCTAGGGTTTGCCTTCTTGTTCCTTTTCTTCTTCCTGCTGCCCAAGAAAGAGCAAGGACACCAGCCTGGAGCACAGGGTGGAAGCAGTGAGTGTCCTCTCGTTGAGGACGGTGCGCCTCAGAGAGGATTGACTACTTCAGGGTCACTCGACGACGAGGGAGTGGCAGCCAGGTGCCCCACTTCCCCCTCCAGCGCCAGTACCTGGCTGCCTTTAAGGGACCAAATGTGGAGCGGATCTGTTCTCAGGTGTTTACAAATTTTCATTTCAGTTGGCTATGTTTCAAAGGAAAAAGAAAGAAAAATCTCCACTACATCCTTTAAAATGATAACATTGATTTCTGAGCAATAAAAATTGTGGCTTGTCAGGAAACGTCAAAGAAAATGTTTAAAAGCTTACAACAGATCCCTGTTCATCTACTAAGGGTTAAAATGTCATACATCAATTGTTTTCAGAAAACAAACAGTGCCTGGTGCTTTGGTCTTGGCAAAATATGAAAATATAAATTGATTAAACTTATTTTAATGGGTATTTACCTGCAATTTGTCTCAAGTCCAGGTGTAATCTAGATTCATTATCTTGCCCCGTCTGTCTGGGAACTGTGAGCACCTAGCACAGGTCTGGCAGGCCGGGAGAAAAGGAATTAGGGAGGGAACCTGTGAGCCAGGAAATCCAGTCCTTTGTGACAATGGAAGCAGACAGGAGTAGAATATATTCCGTGACCACGGTGGGGGAGGGGGCTCTACCCATCTAGTTAATGATTCTGGCTCGTAGTAGCCTTGTTGTTAAACCCAAAAAGAGACAGAGAGGAAAGAGTCCCCCAAGTCCGACTCTGCTCAGTACACCAGACCCTCAGAGTACATTGCTTTCATTGCTCCCTCCCTGGCTGGGCTTTGTAGGGACCTAAAGGTGCCTTTGGCGGGAGCCAGAGTATGTCACCAGCCTTCTGCTTTCCCCTCTAGGTGGCATCACATTCATCTTGTGGGTTGCTGCCTATCACCCCGGCCTTGGGAGAGGGGGAGGGGGGCAGCTTGGGAGTTGTCACACCTTTCCCAGATTCCTCTTCCTAAATACAGATCAGCATATGTGCAAATGTGCTTGACACACGGTGACTGTATGGATTCTGATAAGAAATGTCAGAGCCCCCAATAAAACTAATAAAAATAAAAATAATACAGCTCAGCATTTCAGATGAGCATTAATGGGCAAATATAGGCAGCCCGCCCTAGAAGGATCTCGTATATCAGCAATTCTGTTCTTTCCACTTAGAATCAGGGGGTGGGGGGGTGGGGGGTGTTAATAGTGTCTGCTCAAGGCAACTTTGGGGTCGGTCTTTTGTTGTTGTTTTGTTTCCTTTTGGGCCCTGCCAGGTATAAGATGAGAGGGGTAAATGCCTTCATTTGGTTGACAAGGTTAAGAATTGGGTTTTGTGGTGTTTGGGGTTGGTTTGTTTCCAAAATCGTATGATCGGTATTTAAACCATTGCAAGAGACCTCAAGGCCTACACCCACAGCCCTGGCGTTTTCCTCAAAAGGAGGTCACCCTCCTCGGCAGCGCTCCGCTCAGCGTGTTTCTTCAGGAGACAGATCTGGGGTGCAGCAGCATCTGAACACTCAGTGTCAAATGTGCAAATGCGGTGGAAGGCTCTGAGGAGCCGTCCCGGCACACCTGGCAAGCCTGGAACCTGCGCGCTCCTTCTTCCTCGCCGCTTCACATCGCACTGACACGGGCACAGGGGGCGGCTCCGAAAGGAAGGGGAAAACCAACTGCTGGGGACTCTCGATGGCATCGTGCGCTTGTTCAAGTGACAATCAAGAAACCAGGCAGAAATGGCAAAGGGCCATCCTTGGGCTTCTGCAGAGAGCCTGACTAGGCAAGTAGCCTTTCCAGCGTGCCATTAGGTTAGGAGCATTTACTCATGCCACCCAAAAATGTGGTGCTCAGAAGTTGCACACAAACGATATTTGACTTCCCTTCAAAGCCATTCAACCTGAAAGATGTCCAAGCATGTCAACAATGTCACATTTAGCTACTTTTGCTGTGAAGGGCTTTCAGCCAACTGGCTCACACTCATTGCCCAGAGAAAAAGAAGGGACATTTTTAGCCAGTCCACAAGCAAATAGGTATGCCCCTGAAATGAATTGTAGCATGCTACTTCAATAGAGAAAAAGGAAGCTAGTTTCTGCATTGAGATTATCAGCAGAATATGACCCTGAAGGGCAAAAACCAAGGGCTTCTCATAATCTTAGCGATATCGGGGAGTAGGCAGCGGGGCAAGGGCAGGGGCAGGGGAAGGACTTCCAAAAGCTAATGGAAAGATAATGGAATTTTCCCAGGACCTTTCTGACGCACCTTCATCTTCGAGTTCTGGTGGGGAGCAGATCACCATTGCTCCATCTAATAAGCCAGGTCCTTGCATGCTGGTCCAGCTCAAAGCCCACCTCCAGGAAGCTTCTTCCCGGGCCTCTTCCTCCACCACAGTTTCTGCCTCTTCTCTGCCGTTCTTGCACATGTAACTTCATGGTTTCTTGTGAGGGCTACCTGTGCATTCCGTCATGTTTGTTTGCACAGTTGTGAGAAAATGGAGGGGGAGGAGGGAGGGACTCTGTCCACATGTCCTTTCGGAAGGCCCAGGTTTGGGAGGGTGGTAAACTGTGAGCAGCTGAACCATCATCCAACACCATCTTTGTGAGGTCTGACAAAGGTTTCCACACACGTTTATTTATAGTGACTGTTCTTCTAGGTTCAGATAGCCTTCCCGCCATGCACATGCCCTAGCCAGCTCTCCTCGACTCATCCACAATAGCTGACCGGAAAGAAAGACCTTGTGAGGTGATCGCCATGATCGATGAATTACTCCCTCCCCTCCCAGAGGAGGATGAACAACAAATACATGGGGGAAGGGAGACAGTGGACGGTGTGAGATATGAAAATAACAAGTATTTATCATTTATCAAGGGTTTACAAGGGTGGGAGGGAGGGAATTAAAGAGGAGCTGATACCAAGGGCTCAAGTAGAAAGAAAATACTTTGGAAATGATGATGGCAACACAGGCACAAATGTAATTGGTACAATCGATGTATGGATTGTTAGAAAAGCTGTAAGAGCTCTCAATAAAATGATTAGACGATAATAATAATCACAACTGGGCAATACACAACATCACAATCAATGGAGAGAACATTGTGGGGGAGGGGGAAGACCTCAAAGAAAGGTGAAAACGCAGGCTTGTCTCCAGGGAGAACGCGGAATGAGTGCTGGTGTCTTGAGGGGGCAGCGGGGAATTCATGGAAACAAAATCTGTGTGAATCGGTTAATGTCAGACCACGAGCTGCTCTGCAAACCGTCACCTAATTCCCAATTAAAGAAAAAATGTAATAAGTTAACGGGAAAAAACCCTCAGACATATACCTAAAGCCCTCTTCCTCTCACTCACATCATTATAGGACATCGACAGAGCTACCACCACGGAGACATTTGCAGCCTCAGACTGCAGAATTAGGCCTGCATGTAAGGGTTCCTGAGGGTGTCAGGCTTTGGCTTCTGCTTTAAATCTTTTCTGGAACAAACTAGGTCCATAGTGCTAAAGAAAGGAAAGAATTCTCTGGAAGAAACAAATCTGGCTTCATTTGAACTTTTTCTCTTGTTCATTGTTTTTGCATTAAAGAAACAGACTTAATATGTAGCCAGCTGGGCGCTAAGTAAATACTACTGTGTGAACATGACCATCTTAGCCTTCCCGACATTTTGGTTAGCCATAAGTAAACCAATGGCACATTTCACCCTAGATCATTGAATTAAAAAGTAATTGCAAGCAGATGCAAATCAAGAAGGAATATGTTTATAAATTATTTTAAGTGTTGTTCAGTATTTTGATTCTTTGCACACAGCTTGCATTTATATGACAATAAACAAGCCTTTCATCAGGGACCAAAAAAACCAAAAAAGCTAGCTAGAACATGTGCTTGTGGACCACAATATTTTGAATAAAAAGGTTCCCCTCTCCTCTTCTCTCCCTCCCACCTCACCCCATCCTTTTGATAGCAAAGAAAGTTTTCCAAATGAAAGATTTCACGTGGGTCTTCTCCGGACCAGTTCACTTAGAGAAGCCGTTGGTTGGTCATCAATGAGGGCCCCAACCGACCTGACCTTTCGCGTTGCACACCCACTGGGTGCATCACACAGCAGGAATGTCTAAAGGAATTTGATAGAGAGCCCCTTGAGAACACGAAGCGTTCTTTTGAACAAGGAAGACTTCTCCCCACCCACAGTTCGTGGTTCTGTAATTATGGTTGGTTACTTTGGCCTGCTTAAAGCGATCTGTGTCTACAGAAACACGATTGAGGTGGGAGGAAAACATAACCTGCCGTCATGCATGGACCTAAACTCGAGTAGGCTGTCCTAATCACATCGCGGACCGACTGGACCCTGTCACAGTATTGGCCCATCGGCTGGTAGCTGGCCGCGGCATCACTCTCTTGAATCGTGTAGCTCCCTAGAGAAACGAGCATTGAGATAGAGCCTGCAGGTCAACAGAGAGACAACAGGAAACCAGCACTGGTGAGAACCCATAGTTGGTGAAAAGCTGTATGAGATTGAAAACTAGTATTTTGGCAAAAAACAAAGCCAAGCCCCACAAAGCAACTCCACCATTATTTCTGCGACCATTTCCAAGTATGCTTCTATTGTCCGTTTACATGTGTTTTCATTTCTACTTCAGATGAGGAGAACCCTTAACACACTTAGGTCTCGACGCTGAAAATGCCCCACTAGGATTCTTGGTCCGGTTTCTGCAACGGCTGTAATTTGTAAAAATCTAGTTAGAGTAGGCTGTGATTATATTGGGCTTCACTCTCAAGAATTGTTTTAGCAGGAATTTTATATGCAAGACTAAATGCTGATCAACAGAGCATAATATTGTATTCTGAAGTGTGCTAGTGAAAGCAAAATTAATTTTTTGTTCTTTTTTTTCTTCCTTCTGAAATCTCCTGCCATAGCGCCTGCATTTGCCCCCGGACTTGTCAGACACAGTGAGCCGCTCAAGCAAACAGGATGCGGCGGAATCCGCCACGCGGCGGGGCCCAGGCTGTGGCATGATGGCCGGAGGCAAGAAGCACCTGGACTTCTAGCGAGTTCTCCTTAGCCGTTGTATGCAGAATGATATGACACCCTAATTATGATTGCTAATAGCTTATGTAAATATTTTTCTTAATGAGTTGACCCTCCAATCCTTCAAAAGAGAAAACACTCAGGATTGTAAAGCAGAGAGCCCCGCTTCCTCCCCCCGCCCCCCAATCTCTTCAATTTTGTAAAAGAAACAACTTTTTATACAGAAGTAGTACAGCAGAAATACTTCCATTTAAAATGTTTTGTGCCCCCTTTGGAGGAACTGTACCATTTTATTTTTAATAAAGGGAAGTGACAGATCAGAAACGCAGATGCCTTTACCATTTCTTGCTCATCGGTGTGCCTCACCCCACAGCACTGAGAAGCACAGGCTACGGGCAGCAGGATGGAATTCAAAATGTTCTGTGAAAAACCTGTTTTCTCTTGCATTTATAAAAAGGCACTCACCTGGTGTTGAAGGGGTCAGGTATAAGGCATCATCAGAACAAAAAATCTTACCATAGTGAATGATGGGGGGAGTGCGGAGTGGAAACCCAAAGCCCATGAGTAGGCCACTGGAGATCCCCTTGCAGAGGGGTCTGGGGAGGAGACGAGCCAGTCAGGGTGCGATGTAGCAACGATGAAAAATACAACTTTCCTCTAGTTCCTAAATGTTTCCTCCCCGCTCCCACTACCATGACTCGAATTCGACCTTGCAAGTCTGGCTAGACCAGAGGATGTACACTGGTACAGATAGGAACTGGAAATACAGGGAATCCAGGGCAGATGAGCCCTGCAGGACCAGTGGTGTGGGTGGCGAGACGGGGAGGGTAGAGGGAGAGTGGGTGGGAAAGAGGGAACCGATTATGTGACCTCCTCCCTGGGGGACAGACAACCGAAAAGTGGGTGAAGGAAGGCGTCGGACAGGGCAAGATATGACAAAATAACAATTTATAAACTATCAAGGGCTCATGAGGGAGGAGGGAGCAGGGAGAGAGGGGAAAAATGAGGACCTAATGCCAGGGGGCTTAAGTGGAGAGGAAATGTTTTGAGAATGATGAGGGCAATGAATGTACAAATGTGCTTTACACAATTGATGTATGTATGGATTGTGATAAGAGTTGTATTAGCCCTTAATAAAATGATTTTAAAAAATAATAATAAAAAGGCACTCGCCACCAAACAACAAGGTTTCCTTTAGAAATGCAAGCATTCGTTTGCACAAAGGCTGTAATGAAATGGATTTATCTTGCTATTAAATTGATAAAGACAAAATAATATTTGGGGATCAAAACACTATTGAAGATAGCTGGCCTGGGTGATTAATAAATACAAAGAACGTGAGTGACAGAAAGCAGAGAACAAGGAAGAATGGTGTTCTGCTTGGTAATCCCAAACGATTGAAGTCAGCATATGAAATTATGTCAACATCATAATTCAGGATTGAAATGCAAACTGACAGCTATATTAGTGCTGGGATAGGGGGGGAACACATGTACCAAAGCCTGGGGAGAGATGTCTACAAAAGATGAGTCTGAAGCAAAGTCAACAAATGAAACCAGCTCAGCTTCCCATTGGGTCAGGGGAACGCATCTTTAATTTCCAACTGTGGCTCAGGATGCAAAGATCCCCCCCTATCAACATGCCCTCCTGTCAACGTGCATGGCACACTCAGGCACTCAAAAACTTTGGTAAATCATGAAAAGTGAAACTTCAAGGTAATTTGCACATTTAAGTGGAGTCTCAATTTGTAAAAAGCTGTTTAACACCCATGGAATTGTAATTTCCCAAATACATTTTCAATTAGGTTGGAGTATCTTGATGCTGTTAAAACTAGCATTTTTTCAAAGTAGTGTGCTTTTAATATACCACGAATTATACTTTATTTGTTCTTGACAACATTGTAGAAAACAAAGACTAGATTTTTTAAAACTGTCTAACCAGTATGATGAATGCCAGTCATTTTAAAAAAAAAACCCACTGTAGCATAAACACATAGTGTATACAGCTTTTATTCAGAATTGAAATAATTGAATCCATGACAGTGATTTGCCAGGATGTCAAATCTTTCCATCATATCCTGTCACTACCAGTTTATTTTTTGTGATCAAAATCAAAAAGACAACTATTTTGTCACCCTCTATTTCATTAGTACTAAAAATCAGGTTTCTCCTTTTTCTTTTTTTTTAAGAATGCCTAGTTTGGGGTTTTTTTTTAACTCCTTTTAATTCTAAAGACAAATTCTTCCCCCATTTTCTTTTCAAAATAAAGTTTCAGAACCGATCTGTCAGTTAAAAATAAAGGGCTTTTATATTAAGCAAAGGTGTTTTTTTAAAAATTTTTTTGGTGTTTTTAAAATTTAAAGCAACTTCAAAAAAATCAATTTAGTCTGTAGACAATAAATAATGTTGTGCAGATACTCCAAAAAGGCACTGCTGTGTCTCTTTTAAAGCATTATAGGCCATTGAATCCCTTTAAATGAGTGTTTCAGTCAGTTTCTTCTTTTAATAACGCTAACCCCTTTCTTACCGTGTTGTGACTCATTTTATACAAACACACCACGGGACAATTACCTATCATTTGACTCTGAAAAGGAAGTGTGAGGTCATCAAATATGTAAATTGCTTGTCAAAATACTCCATAGGTCCTTGATTCTCTGCCCAAGCTACCATGTCTATAAAATTAAAGGCCGATGACTAGCTCAGACGTGCTTTGCAAAGATATCAATAATGTAAAAATCAAGGGTCCATATTTGAACCCTTATTTTAAATATAAAAGAAACTCCAGACTCAAAGTGCGTTTTGGACAGGGGAGCACCTGGGTTTTCCAAAGGTCACATCCCAGTGCTTTGTCTTCTGATTCACCCAGCAGTCTGAGGACAGCTCCGAGAGAGGGGTGTGTATTTTCTGTTTTCTCCAGATGAAAACCCACCCTAAAATTGTCTTTTCCTTCCTTCTGGAAATAGTGTTCACTGTACCTTGTGCTCATCCTTCCATACATAAAAAGACTGACCTCCCAAACCCTGACTGTGGGTCTCCCCACCAATCCGATACATTATGAAATATAGACTCTGTCAACAGATGCACTCTTCCAATTATCAACTTGACTCCAGGATATAAATACTTAAGAGCAATGTCAAACATAATATCTAAGCATCCCATACCTTTTAAATGGTTCTAGGATGTGAACTTCAAGACCCTATAGATGGTGTTCATTTCTTACGCTAGAGTTGCCTGTCTTTAACATGAGGGAAATAGTTTGACTACTGCAGTCAGCTCAGGTGCTGAGGTCCTAAGACCATCTGAATCTCTATTTCATAGACACAAGACAAATTCCACCTTGCTCTTCCTCTTTCCCATTTTTTTCTCTATCCCCCACCTCCAAGATCTTCAAATACTAACACTAGCAAAACCAAAACTACTTCCAAAGGGAGCAATATTCTGCCACCAATTCCTTGTCTACCTTTCCGTTTTGAAGAAACACACACACATGCACAGACACACACACACACACACAGGTAGACAGAGGGGGAGGGGCCTAGTCCTATTCATTAGTTTAAGCCAATTCCTAATGTAAGGTGATCAGACGTCCCGCTTTTGGCGGGACAGTCCCAATTTTTAACAATTTTTCCCGCGACCTGCGGCATTTTTAAAAAGTCCCGACTTTTGGAAAGAATGCATGACAAGCTAGGGTATACAGTTTTCGGCTGCCATGTGGCTATTTCTCCAGGATATGAGTTTTATCAATGGTGTCCCGCTTTACCAATGTTAAAATCTGGTCACCTTATCCTAATGTCACTGTTAACCCTTCATTTTACTGCTTTCCAAGACACTCATGACCGTCAGCACTTTGAACAGTACATCTGAGCTTTGGCCACTCAAGACCGAAGCAAAAGACAGATGAGGTTTATTCTGAAGAACAAGAAAGAGGAAGCTTATGTATGACTTTGACTCTAGTGAGCCAAACTTATTATACAGCAAAGAAAAGCCATTTTTAACATGAAGAGCAGAGCAAAAGAATAGACACTGACCTTAGGATAAGCAACATTTAGAAAACAAAGTTGAATCTTAAGATAACAACACTATAGGTCCATCTTAAGGAGTCTCCTTAGGATCAAATGAAGGAAATGGTTCTGTGAAGTAGCCAGTTTTTTGCCACCTAAGAGTTAGGAGGCACAGATTTGGAGAGGACTGGGAACACTCTGGAAATGCATGAGCAGTAACAACTTCTTAGTTTGAATGTGCTTTATGTAGACCTGCAGTTCCGGTTCTATTCACCTCTTCTTAAGGAGTGCAGATGTGCAGAAAATGTCTGGCTAGCTAGTCCCACCTTCCTACTGAGGACATCTCAAAGATAGACGGCCTCCACCCTGGGAGGTAGCATCCAATCCTCCCTGCAGAGTTTCCATGGATAAATGTAGGAAGATAACCTATCAGTAAATTTACAAGCCAACACAAATTATTTTAGCAATGAAGTCCATGCCCTGCCCCCACAGCGCCTGCCACTCCGTCCCTGGGAGAGTACCCAGTGCTCCCTTCAGAAGGGCAGCTCCTCTCCCTAGGGAGAGGGCAGAAGGCAAGGCAGCTGTTCCCACCCTGCTGGACCAGAGGGCTTCTGCAGCTGAGCAGCCGCTGTCTCACACTGAACCAGGCTGTGCCTGGGTGCTTACACACAACACACACACACACACACACCTTCACCCAGCACACACACACACACATACACAAACACACCCCTTTGTCCAGGCCCTGCTCCTGCACCCAGCTCACATACACACACACACACCTTCCCCCAGGCCCTGCTGCTGCACCCAGCTCTCCACACAGTTCTCCAAGGTCTACAAATTCTCCACAACAGAGCTGACAGCCAGGACCACCTGCCTGACTCTGACCCACAACACAGCCCGGGGAGAACCATCCCTTCTTGCAGGGAAGATGCCAGGCAGGCAGTGGCTGTGCACACACTCCCACGTAGCCCTTCTCTGAAAGCTCCCGCAGCACTTGTCCCTGTGGGAATACAGACTGCACAGTGTCAGGAGGAAGAAATAGCTGCCTGGGCAACGGTAGCAACAGTGTCTCTGTGCACACTCCACTAGCGAAGTGTGTGTGCAGTGCAGGCAGAGTGTGGAAAAGCGGCCATCACCTTAGAAAGCTGTCTGACTGTGCAGTAGCTCTGATGGAACAAAATCCTAAATTCATAGCAGGTCCCAAGAGATGAATTGCCATTCTCTGTTCACAAATAATTCTTAAACTACAAAACAGTAGACGTTAAGCTCAAAGACTTTCGAAATCCTCCAATTAACTTCTGTATGCTGATCATTTACCTTTAAAG